CATCCATCAACCTCGTCTGTGGTAGGTCCACCAGATAAGCAAAGCTTATTGTAAAACAGACACCTCGTACTTTGTGGCTGTCAAATGACCCGAAACTCGATGTAGTAGAATCATCCAGATTCCCCTCCAAATTAGGCGACTCTACATCAAAACGAAATTATGAATGAATTAACCATCTATTTTGTAAAATTTTAATGTACTGAACTTTTCAGACGCCGCAAATTCGGATTTGGACATTCTTCTTCGAAAAGATGACAGTGAAGAAAACAAGCAACTATTTGAGTCGCAGCAACGAAGGTATGCCTTCATTCCAGATGGGAGCGTGATGCCACCCACCATTGACCTCAGTCTTGACTGGGTCAATAAACAGCTCTATCTACATTCGCAGAACCATTCCAGCTAACCAATTCCACTTTGCGTGCCTCGAAAAAGAAACGGTTCTATTCGGCAATTGCTTAATCAAGCAAATTTGGAGGGGTAACGACAAAGATAAAACAGTAGTGGCTCTAGATGTGGGGAGGAGATGGGAAGGATCTTTTTTCTCCAAAAAGTTATATTTACTAAGTGAATTAACAACCTGTTGATCTATACAAACACACGGATACTGGTTTGCACAAGATTAGAAATAAAAAAAGGATGGGACCAGACGAAAACGACTTGACTCAGTCGCCGCCGACAAATCAGTCTGTTTTACTCTTGGGCTTGCTCTCCTTCAGGTAGAGGTAAACAAAAGAGAAGAGAAAGACCCCCAACATCATTGATATAGCGCTTGCGTAGTATGGGTAGGCCGACGTGATGAAGCGCTCATACTGAGTGTGCGTAAACGGTCTGACGGAAATCTTTTGAATGAACGACAAACATCACGACAGAGAAGATAAGCAAAGATACTAAAGAGGAGGAACTAACTTGTGTAGCACTAAAAACCGAAGTGTAACCGATTCGGTGGTAGTCCACTACCAGTTTGAAAACGCCGTAGACGTCGGGCAGTTTCATCCGCATCTCGTAGCCGTGATCTAAGCGCCAGGTAAACAAAAGTAAAAAACCTACCTCCGAATTGGAGGTTTCGACGTATGAAAGGGTCAATTCGGACGAGTTCTAACTGAATGTCCTCAGCTACGTAGTCATGCCAAACTCCATTAGCAGCCTTTTCTACAATATCAATTTTGTAGACAATTTCATCAGTTATTGTGTATTCATGACGAGCGGTTGACTCGCCAACCCTATGGTGAGAAACATTTGCCACACGAAGAACACCGGACTCCTTGAATGCCCACCGCGAGAGGTGATCACAGAACTCGGCATTACTTGAGCGTTCAAATCTGAAGTTTCAGGTTCGGATAG